CCACCTAAGTTGACCTACAATGCGGCATCTAGCGCGGTGCTGCTTGAGACTCAAGTGGATTAAGGTGGATCCACACCTGGACCGATGCGAAACGATCGCCGAGACACCTTCGTGGACCGCGTTCGAACCGCGCTGTCTCTCTTTAGGACGCGAACCGATCGAAATTCTTCCGTAGCCGTCGATTCTTAGGGTTCCCCGCGTTTGCAACGAAAATAGGCGCGTGCTTCCTTCGGTACCAAAATTGTCGAAGGAAGAAACAAGCTCGACGGTGCGGGCAATCGGTGTGGACTCACCTTAATCAGGAGGCGCGGCACGCCGATTGATTCCTGGTCGTTTTGTTCGGAGCCGTGTTAACTCGAGCCAGACGCGGGCCGCCGTCGATGGGCATAGTCTGGGAGTCTAGGAGGATCGAACCGCTCAATGACGACCTGTTTGCGCACGCAGACTCGGCATCGCGGTGATTAATCGTAAATCGTTTACGCAATCCGACGTACAAGTTTCTCGCGATCCCGCGAGGACACTCGGCGATGACGCGTCGATTTTCTTGTTCATGATTTTCTTGATCAACCATTCGACAGGGCGTGAGATCATAAAGAGGCAGCAGACGCCTTTCGGTGTTTCGGGACCTGTTGCAAGAAAATCGGCGCACTCACGGTGTCCCAGATACTGCGCGCGTTACTTAACCGTCCCTAAACGTTTGTAATCGTGATCGTCGTGTTCGGAGGAGACACGATTCACGTAACTTTTCCCATCGAGGAGTCGAAATCGAATTTCTCGACACGGTTTTAAAAATCCGTGCTCGAACCGCCTGTCGGCTAGCCGCGGCGTGCGATCGACGAGTCGATCGCCGTCCGATCAACCTGCACGGACGGCCGCAGACGCGATGACGCAAACCTGATTTAATTGCACGTTAGACGCGCGCGTTTCGATCGGCACGGCGGCGGCGGCGGCGGTGCGTACGGATGATTCATCGGGCAAAAATACGCGGACACGCTTACGCGATCCGCAAAACGCTTCCGAGAGGACCGCGCGGAACAATGGAATCCACGGTGGAACCGGCCGCGGCGGAGGCCTTTCTCGCATGCAAACATTCGAGCGCGCGCCGCGGCCGTTTCTTCCTCGGCGAGGAGAGCAGCAGACGCGGATGCATTTCGACGCAGCGGCCATGAAATTAGATGCAATGCTGGATACGCGTTCTCTACCATCCGCTTTTTTAATTGGGTCTATTAACTCGGTTAACTCGCGGCTCGGATCCGCTCGCGGCCAACCACGGTTGACAACCGTCGGCCGCTGATAACGACGCCGCGAGATTTTCGTGCCAGCTCTAGGATTACACGCCGAGGAAACCCGGCACCTCTCTATCTGTCTCGCGATATCTAATCGCGAATGATAAGCGCATGTTCGATTTTTCTACGAGCTTTCCTGTACCCAGACTCTTGGGAACGACGGTCAAATATTGCCAGGAATAATATTGAACGACGCGAAGGCGATCGCTGTGCCGGAAGTGAGCGGTGCACGCTCTTGTCCTTGGCGAAAGAGTTGTTGGGAATAGGAAACGTTCGATAACTTGGTGACGCGCTCGCTTTGCTGTATTGTATACTTGAACCTTTTAGGTACGGCTGAATTCTGCGCGAGACTATTTCTCTGGACGGCAGAGTCTGATACTGTATAGCTGTCTCTTATACACATTAGATGTGTATAAGAGACAGGAACGACACGCCACTATAGTGGCTTTCGCGGATGTCATCTCTCTGGACGACGCGCCACTATAGTGGCTTTCGCGGATGTCATCTCTCTGGACGACGCGCCACTATAGTGGCTTTCGCGGATGTCATCTCTCTGGACGACGCGCCACTATAGTGGCTTTCGCGGATGTCATCTCTCTGGACGACGCGCCACTATAGTGGCTTTCGCGGATGTCATCTCTCTGGACGACGCGCCACTATAGTGGCTTTCGCGGATGTCATCTCTCTGGACGACGCGCCACTATAGTGGCTTTCGCGGATGTCATCTCTCTGGACGACGCGCCACTATAGTGGCTTTCGCGGATGTCATCTCTCTGGACGACGCGCCACTATAGTGGCTTTCGCGGATGTCATCTCTCTGGACGACGCGCCACTATAGTGGCTTTCGCGGATGTCATCTCTCTGGACGACGCGCCACTATAGTGGCTTTCGCGGATGTCATCTCTCTGGACGACGCGCCACTATAGTGGCTTTCGCGGATGTCATCTCTCTGGACGACGCGCCACTATAGTGGCTTTCGCGGATGTCATCTCTCTGGACGACGCGCCACTATAGTGGCTTTCGCGGATGTCATCTCTCTGGACGACGCGCCACTATAGTGGCTTTCGCGGATGTCATCTCTCTGGACGACGCGCCACTATAGTGGCTTTCGCGGATGTCATCTCTCTGGACGACGCGCCACTATAGTGGCTTTCGCGGATGTCATCTCTCTGGACGACGCGCCACTATAGTGGCTTTCGCGGATGTCATCTCTCTGGACGACGCGCCACTATAGTGGCTTTCGCGGATGTCATCTCTCTGGACGACGCGCCACTATAGTGGCTTTCGCGGATGTCATCTCTCTGGACGACGCGCCACTATAGTGGCTTTCGCGGATGTCATCTCTCTGGACGACGCGCCACTATAGTGGCTTTCGCGGATGTCATCTCTCTGGACGACGCGCCACTATAGTGGCTTTCGCGGATGTCATCTCTCTGGACGACGCGCCACTATAGTGGCTTTCGCGGATGTCATCTCTCTGGACGACGCGCCACTATAGTGGCTTTCGCGGATGTCATCTCTCTGGACGACGCGCCACTATAGTGGCTTTCGCGGATGTCATCTCTCTGGACGACGCGCCACTATAGTGGCTTTCGCGGATGTCATCTCTCTGGACGACGCGCCACTATAGTGGCTTTCGCGGATGTCATCTCTCTGGACGACGCGCCACTATAGTGGCTTTCGCGGATGTCATCTCTCTGGACGACGCGCCACTATAGTGGCTTTCGCGGATGTCATCTCTCTGGACGACGCGCCACTATAGTGGCTTTCGCGGATGTCATCTCTCTGGACGACGCGCCACTATAGTGGCTTTCGCGGATGTCATCTCTCTGGACGACGCGCCACTATAGTGGCTTTCGCGGATGTCATCTCTCTGGACGACGCGCCACTATAGTGGCTTTCGCGGATGTCATCTCTCTGGACGACGCGCCACTATAGTGGCTTTCGCGGATGTCATCTCTCTGGACGACGCGCCACTATAGTGGCTTTCGCGGATGTCATCTCTCTGGACGACGCGCCACTATAGTGGCTTTCGCGGATGTCATCTCTCTGGACGACGCGCCACTATAGTGGCTTTCGCGGATGTCATCTCTCTGGACGACGCGCCACTATAGTGGCTTTCGCGGATGTCATCTCTCTGGACGACGCGCCACTATAGTGGCTTTCGCGGATGTCATCTCTCTGGACGACGCGCCACTATAGTGGCTTTCGCGGATGTCATCTCTCTGGACGACGCGCCACTATAGTGGCTTTCGCGGATGTCATCTCTCTGGACGACGCGCCACTATAGTGGCTTTCGCGGATGTCATCTCTCTGGACGACGCGCCACTATAGTGGCTTTCGCGGATGTCATCTCTCTGGACGACGCGCCACTATAGTGGCTTTCGCGGATGTCATCTCTCTGGACGACGCGCCACTATAGTGGCTTTCGCGGATGTCATCTCTCTGGACGACGCGCCACTATAGTGGCTTTCGCGGATGTCATCTCTCTGGACGACGCGCCACTATAGTGGCTTTCGCGGATGTCATCTCTCTGGACGACGCGCCACTATAGTGGCTTTCGCGGATGTCATCTCTCTGGACGACGCGCCACTATAGTGGCTTTCGCGGATGTCATCTCTCTGGACGACGCGCCACTATAGTGGCTTTCGCGGATGTCATCTCTCTGGACGACGCGCCACTATAGTGGCTTTCGCGGATGTCATCTCTCTGGACGACGCGCCACTATAGTGGCTTTCGCGGATGTCATCTCTCTGGACGACGCGCCACTATAGTGGCTTTCGCGGATGTCATCTCTCTGGACGACGCGCCACTATAGTGGCTTTCGCGGATGTCATCTCTCTGGACGACGCGCCACTATAGTGGCTTTCGCGGATGTCATCTCTCTGGACGACGCGCCACTATAGTGGCTTTCGCGGATGTCATCTCTCTGGACGACGCGCCACTATAGTGGCTTTCGCGGATGTCATCTCTCTGGACGACGCGCCACTATAGTGGCTTTCGCGGATGTCATCTCTCTGGACGACGCGCCACTATAGTGGCTTTCGCGGATGTCATCTCTCTGGACGACGCGCCACTATAGTGGCTTTCGCGGATGTCATCTCTCTGGACGACGCGCCACTATAGTGGCTTTCGCGGATGTCATCTCTCTGGACGACGCGCCACTATAGTGGCGTGTCGTTCTGAAAGATGCCATCCGCGAAAGCCACTACAGTGGCGCGTCGGGCCTAAAAGGTTAATTTAGAAATTTTCCGACGTCGTTGTTCCAGCAGAATGATGTTAACAAACGGTGTCGTTTTCAATTCGCGAACTAGACGAGGTCGTCCAAGAAAATGAAGTCATGCTCGTTACGAGGTCACGATGCAAATGGTACTCTTGTTAGACGATACGATTTAGGAACTGGGTCGTGTCTCGGCGACGTCTTTCGTTATCAGACTGCGGAAGCTTGCAAAGATTCGCATTATCGCGCGCACGTTCTTATAAACGGCTTGTGGAATCTTGGGGAAAATTGTTCTAACTTTCAAAAAAAATAAAAAAAAAACACCAAAGCCTACTGTTTGCCATTTGGAGAAAAATTATAGATCTTGCGGAATACGGGAGAAATATATAGAAATATATAGAAATATATAGAAATATATAGAATGCGGAATACAATGCGGGATTGTAACGGCAGTGAAAAACTTGATTTTCTGACGGTTCGATTTTCTATTGCAGGCCGAGAGGGACAAACTGGAGGAGAATCGACGCGCCTTGGAGAAGCGATTGGAGGGTTGCGAGTCGGAGCTTCGCGGCAAGGAGGACGAATTGTTTCTGCAGCTGGAGCGAAGCCTGCGACTCGAGGAAGAAGCCGAAAGAGCGAAGAGCGAACGAGACAGCTGCGTAGCGGCACGGGACCAGCTGGACAGACAGCGCGAGGTGGCTTTGCGTCGGCTGCAGATGCAACTGGCGCAGAACGAGATTACGAGGCAGACTCTCGAACGAGCACGACAGGATGTCGTCAGGCAGGCCACGGTGATTCGCGCCGAGCGGGATGCTCTTGAGAGAGAGGTGAAAATAAGGCCGCTGTTTTCGATAAACGACCGGCCACAGCCTTTATCGAGATCGATTAGCTATGAATGCTTCTACTTAATCGCGCTTTGTCCGGCACATTGTGATCCCATCCTCATCCCCAAGCCCCACTAGCTCGTGTGCTTAAACTGCCGCTAAAGTAACGACCAGTTTGCGAATTATCATGCGAATCTCAAGGCACTGAAACATGTAACGATATCGCAACTTGTTCCCTGGTTAAATATCCTTCGGGAACGTCGGTGCGACTGCATAGAGGTCCGCGGATTCTTGTGCCCTATAGCTTATTTCTTGAAAAGTTGAAAGGCTTTATGTTTGTCTGGAGTAATGAGTTTGTCGTTTTCTATTTTTAGAACGAAGTGCTGAAGGAGAAACTACGTGTGGAGCAGGGCGAATTAGGAGAAGAGAGACGCAGAAGGGAGGAAGGTGTCGCAGCCCTGACCCGGGAGGCGATCACGCTGAGACACGCTGCAAGGCATCTGCGAGCAGCGACTCTTCACGCCACGTCGTGCCGCCGTCGTCGCCGGTGTTCCGTTTGTTTGTACGCGCGTCGCACTTTCGCGGAGATTGATGACTATCGCGACGAGTAGGTTCCTTCATCCTTTTCTCGTTTCCCCGGTACCGCGCGACGCTTCTAGAGTCCTCTGCGTGCAAATATGCGACTTGACCCTAGACTGGCACATCGCGGAAAATGTTAGAAAAGATTGAAGAGCCAGCAAGCGGATTCGGTAATTTTTTGGAACGTTAACTTCACATCTTTTCGGCTGTACACACCCGTAACACGGCGCATAATCATAAAGCACCTTGTTAACCTTTTGAGCTCTGAATACTCCCGGCCGAAACGGTTCGTAGGGACGGAGCGCGGCTATCGCTGACCATCGCTAGGGGCGGAATACTTTTTTGCCACGCTGAAGCGACTATTCAAGGCGCAAACAGTAATAAATTATAGCGATTCTTTTGCAGAAGGTTAAATAATTGATATTCCGATTCAATGTCTGATGATAGTGATTCGTTATATTCTATTTCACTGTCGTCCCTTGTGAAATATTCCTCAAGATTTGACATTTTGTAGGGTGTCACGAATAAAAAAAAATAATCGAACAAGTTATATTCCGCACTATCGTTGTTGACGCGAGCGAGACCGTGAGGTTCTTACATTCGCAAGACGATACTGCTGACCGAGTCGTTTCGAGTGCTTTGAGTCGCGAAAAGGTGACGGTGCAGGTAATTATTTTGAAATCTAATTGGTTAGAGAGTGGGACATAAAATGGGATTTCCGTTTCGGAAATTCCCGGGGATTTTTATGACCCTAATAT